AAAATTAGGTTATTTAATATAATTTTTCATAAAATTAAATATAAAAAAAATTTACCATTAGGTTTATATATAATTTTAAAATACTGCCTCTACTCTTAAAGCACAAAAAATAGTTTTATAAACAAAATTCTAAACTATAATCAAATTTTTAAAAAATTCTTTATTTTATTACACAAAACTTCTTTTTATGTTACACCTGATCTTAAATTTTAATTAGTTATAATACCCCTAATGCTATAACACTATAAAATATTCTCTTCTTATAATATAAAATTTAATACTGCTATAATATAATCCTAAATAAAATAAAATTTAAAAAAAATAAATCATAAGCATATTTTTAATAATTTTCTAAACAAATTTGTCTAAAAAAACCTACAAATTAAAGGATAATAAATTCATATGCTTTTACTATAATTTTTATAATAAACAACACTCTAGAAGGAATGTCTTGTTATTATTATTATTTTATTTTCAATATTGTTATGTAACCTGTTACAAATAACTTTATCCATTTATTAAAACGTAGATGAAAAAGATATTGTATGACAATCAAGATTTTTCAAATTTACTAAAACAATATTCCCAGTTTCGGCAAAAGATGGCAATAAAACTATTCGTACGCACTGCTGTTCTGGCCCTATTAATAAATATATAAGATTATATATTATTTTATACGTTTTATGCAAATATCAATTACCTTTTATAATAGTTGTAGCGAATTCTTTTTGATTTCCAATAAAATATACATGTGGTGTTTGCTTCATTATAAAAGGATCATAATCTCTGAATGGATGACACCCTAATTATTGAATCCTAAAATAAGTCGTCATCATATAGTCAAGGAACTAGTTATCGGATTACTAACTTACAAAGTGTATCTGGTGTGGTTGGTGCAACATGTCTCCAATGCAAAGTTTGCTCTGCTAATTTAAGTCTATCTTCATTTTCAACATATTTAGCAATATCGTCAATTGTTTGACCTGATGTACCAAAGAACCTAATAAATAAATTCAAATCAGAACTAGCAACATATAAACCTGAATTTAAAAAAAAAAAAATTGGTAAAACGTACACAACACCGTCAATCTCGCACCAGTAAGGGTTTGTGACACGGTGAAAAGTCGAATTCTGACAAGCCTTTGGTAACAGACCAGAAATAAAAGGCTGTTGAGGCAAAAATGTATTTACTGGATCATTGCCTCCTGGCATTAAATCAACGGGTAATTCTGAACAAATTTCATTAAGGATATTGTCTAAATCAGAAAGCGGTTGAGCATTGTACGATGAGCTATCATATCCATACTTTTTCTATTAAATGATATACAATAAACATTATTAGCATATTGCAAATATATATATATTTATATTCATCTGTTCCTTGAAACACATACTTCTTTCTTCTCATCTTCAACTACTTTTATTTCCTGCAAACTATTACCTGCGACTATCATTCGAGCTATTTTTGAAGTCAAATTTTGCACCTAGTGATTTAATATCTTATTAATCACATATCACGTATAAAAAATTAGACCAATTTTGTTGTCATTTATCCTTACAAACGAATTTCCTAATTCACCAGTAAGGTATTCCGTCATAAGTTGTAACTGCAATGCCGATGAATAATTTGGTCCAATATTCATTCCACTTACAAGAGCGATATATTTATCATCTTAAAGAAAACAAAATATAAGTTATTATTCCGAGCAATGTCCAACAATATAAAGTTGGTTACTATACCTGTAATTACTGGTGCTGATGGTTGATATGGAAATCCAGCAACACATATGTCACATACTTCAAAATTTCCTTCGGTATTTTCTTTCCCTAACACTGCCATTATTACACCTGAAATTGAACCATGTTTTCTGTAAATATACACCCATACTTAATTTCAATAATCATTTAGGGCATACCTGTTACTCTAGTTTCTCGCTTTAGAATATCGCCAACCAATTTGATTCTTCCCGATTCATCCTCTAAAAAGAAAACGTCGTCCGCACTGCAATATTTTGGGCGTGGTGGAGACGGTGGCGCCCAATGCTAAACAATAAATTGATATAATTTTAAATATAATACTAAAAGATAATTTATAAAAGTCTATATTATTAAACCTTACTTCTTTAGTAACATCATCAAGAATATTTGGTTTGAAACGCATTTCCATATAAACAGTTCCGACGATACAACACGTCACGCCAAGCTTTACGTCCAAAATTTTGTTAACCGTATCAACTTTTTTTTAAGTTACCAATAATTGTAATAAAAAAATAAAAAAATTAAATGAGAATGACGCGAAAATTTTCAAATAATTTCGTGAAATTAAGAATTCACCTGCATTAGGTTCTAAAATGGATCCCCATTTTTTTTGTGCGGTATTTAATACATAAGTTTTCAGGCCTAATAATCTTACATAATACAAATTCGAATACTGTCGAAATTCCTTTTCTTTAATAAGTAGCTCATCGTTAAGTGCAAGCATGGCAACAAGTTAAACTTCTCGAATTTTCTTCCTAAAGCGTATCTAGGTTGTTAAAAGATTTGGATCGCAACAATGTAGGTGTTACACGAGATTTGTTACATAGTAAATCTCACCCATGATTGATGAATTCGGTGATGTCACTTGATTCTGACCAATCAGGTGTAACGTGAAAATCACGAAAACAATCACTTTTTTCTAAAAATCACATTAATCTCTAAGTAGGGATTGGAACCGTTTAACCGTTTAAAAATTGCTCCATAGTTCCGGGCAGAATTATGTTGGTCGTGGGCCGGAATTATTTTTAATGCTGGCAAATTAAACGGTTAAACGATTAAACGATTAAGAAAAATTTTAGGCGGTTCCAATCCCTATCTCTAAGAAACCACCTTTCACGTACTAACAAAAAAAATTCCTTACAGAATTTTTGTATAATTTTGCCTACTAATCCTAATGCTAACCCTAACTAAAATGTCACATTTTAAAAAACGGTGACATGTAAATAATTACAAATTTTTTCAACCAATAGAAAGTGTATAAAAATTAGTAAAATTACATAAAACAGCCGTGGGGATTTACTTATTTTTGCAAGTGATACAATCCCAAAAAAGGAAATGATTGTTATTTTGCTAAAAGTACGTGAGATTTGACCAGCGTTAGGGTTAGGGTTAAGGGTTGTTATTAAAAAAGTTATATAGTAAAATTTGGTCAGGAATTTTTTTTATTAGAACGTAAAATGTAATTTCCAGACAAAACTTCAAGTTACTGGCGATGTTTTGATAGTACAAACTTCCAAACTTGAAATTTGTGACTCAGGACCAATTTGTCTAATAAAAGTACAGGAATAATCAATTATATAAAATTAAACAATTAGTTATATTTGTACATGTGATAATTGACCAATCAATTTTTATAAAATTACAATTATGTTTGAAAAATCTTTATTTAGTAAATTAAAAATATTTTATGATCTGGCAGTTAGAATTTGATAAAATTTAAACTATTTGATTTGTCTTATTAAAATAAATCAAATAATATAAGTTTTGTCAAATCCTACTTACTAGAATATAAGATATTAATAAAATTACAATTGCTTATTTGCTTGTAGATTTCTTATTTTTAAATATATACATATAAATTATTTCTGCTTAATATTTTTAATAAATATACTTTGTTAAATTATTTTTAAATTTTTTTTTTAATATTAATAATGAGGTCATGTTTTTAAGTTTATTGAAATTTAATTGAAGTTTTTATAAAGAAAAGTTTGCTTTTAAATTACATCTAAAAAATAAAGACTTAAATATATAATCTGCAATCTAAATCTACAAAAATAGTTAAAGCTCATTTAGATTTAGATGTTAGTAATAATATAAGAGAGATGAATATAATATTTAATCTATTGAATAGTCCAAAAATCAATTTTAGTAATAATTTGTAGTATTAAAATATAAGGTAAGGGTAAACTAAAAGAAGAACTATAAGTTAAATTAATAGAAAATGTGATTTGAGACTATGTAAAATATAAAATATAGTATAAGATCTATATTTGTTTGTATATTTGTTAGTTTAAATAAAGAAGAAGTTTGTTAAAAAAAAAAGTAGCAATATGATAAGAAATAAAATATTTTTAAATTATTATTATTTTTTTTTTTATAGTTAAACTAATCTTTTTGAAACTAGAGTTTTTTTATTTAATATAGTATGACATAGTAGCTTGTAATCTAATTATCTCAGAGGAACTACTTTATATTAGAAAGTACATCTAATTACATGTACACTTTTGGTGTCTAATTTAAGTAATCTGTCTATATATAGGTTTTATATTAGTTGTTATATCTGCAACCCAACTACAGATATTGCCTATTTAAACTTTCTGTACTGCAATTTTTACTGTATTATTAGAATATCTCTATTATATAATATTAGTTAAGAAGTTCTAAATGCATATTCATATCTTTAAAACCTTATATCTTATTTCATGCAATATATTTTTAAGACATCATTACTAGAGTCTTCTGTATTCCAATTTATAGCTAAACCTAGTTTACAACCCTTACAAAGTTTATACAATCCTAGTATTTTCTTTTTACAACCTTATCGATATCTTGTCTATTTTTGCAAGTCCTTTTATACTACTAATTTAGTTAGTTCTATATAATGTAACTTCATATTCAGATCAACTAGTAGTCAGATTAGTAAACCTCTATCTAGAGGTTCTTGCCTGTACAGGTTATCTGTCCTAAGTTTTCTTCTTCAGATCAAGATCTTCACAGGTGGTATCATTGAAAGTTGTACTATCTCTTTGCTTAGGATTTTCAAGTAAGCTTTTAATTTGAGTATATACTTTCTAGATTTATTTGTATAATATTGCACACTCCAAAGTTAGTCTTAATATAACTAGAATTACAAGATTTACAACTCTAGATCATAAATAAGTTTGTCAGAATAGGATCATTTTTTCAAAATTCTGCTGCCAATAAAAATTAAACATTGGACCTACTGCTTGAAGAATAACAGCCTAACCACTATACTAAGATCACTATCCTACTAAATTATTTCTATTTGTATTTAAATAATAATAATTAAAATAATTAAAATTTAATTTATAAAATAACAAGTTCTTAGTTTAGATTGCAGATAAAGTTGTTTAAGTTTTAACTCTTGTATATAGTTTTTATTTTTTATTTTACAATTTTAGTATATCTTTAATATATAATATATTAATATGTACAATTAAAATTACTAATAAAGATATAAGCAAGACCTCATCTTAACACTAAAAAAAAAAATAACAAGTTTATTTGTAATATATATAACTTTAAATTTGAAATATATAAAAACATTATTTTTATTCTGCTTTTTATATAAACATTATTTAAACTTATTTTGGTATTTTTGAAAAAGTACTAGATTTTAGTTTTAATATTAAAATACTTTTATATATTTGAACTATAAAGTTAACTATCTTAGATTTATTATAAACTTTGCTTTTAATAAAAATTCTTAAATATTGTAATTATTTTTAATTAATTTTAATATAAAATAAATTATATAGAGATTTTTTGCTAGCTTTTTTTTTTAAACAGATTTAATTAATAGATTTTAAAAAATTATGAAAATGTAAAATACTTTATATTATATAAAAAAATTAAAAAAATTTTTTATTACATTGGCTAAGTCACAATGTTAATTATTCAAATTCAGATTTGTCTATTATGTTATATAAAACTATAAAGAATTAAATTGTAAATCTGATCTAATCTAGTTTTAAAATCTGAAACTACAAGTAAAACTGTTTCAAATAAAATAATAATAATCTAGATTATGCATATTATTATACATATAGATTCAACTAATTAAATTTATAAATTATAACTATAAGTAATAAGTATCATAATCAAATTTATAAATTTTTTTTTTTTGTTTAAAATTTTAAATATATTTTATAAGATCAAATATAAAATAATATTTTATAATATAAATTAGATAATGTGTATATTATAAATTTGGAACTTAAATATATAAAATTTTAATAAAATTTAATTTTTTATTTATTAATTTTTTATTTTTTATTTTTTTTTTATTTATTTAAAATAATCTTTTTGGTCTTTTAACTTTTATAAACAATTTTTTTGATAATATAATTTATGAACTATTATAAAAAGAATGTACAATTGACTATATATATATAACTTTTTTATATTATCTATTTAAAAAGTATGCTCAAAGATATTTTACTAATTGTTATACCTAATATTTTAGCTTGGATGTTCTATTTTAAACTCTTTAAATCTAAATTTGTATTAATATTATTAAGTCATATTTAGGTTATTATTTTAACTTTAAAATTATTTTATTCTTAAGTTAAATTTTTTAAAACCTTTTGTATTAATTTTTATAGTTGATCTAAATATTGTTATGACAGAACTAACACTTGCAGTTAGAATTATATTATTTAACTACTGTGTTTTTATAGAATTTACTTGAACTTTAGCATCTACTTAATAGCATACTCCTATTATTTTAATATACTCTTGTTTATTCTTCAGACTTTCAATTCAGATAGCTTATATAAAACTATAATCAGTTTATTAGTATATCAAATTAGTTTAATATTCTTTTTTTTCATTTATTTTAATAGTCTGATTGGTGATATTTTCTATTTAGAGATTTTTGCCTGTTTGAATATTTTGATATTGGTATCTATTTTTTAGATTTAATCTTTATAATAATGTTATCAAAGATTTATACTATCTCTCAACTTAGATTTTCTCAAATTAACTTTTTGTTTTCTAATTTTAATAAATTTATATAACTACAAGAACTTATTTGAGTTTGCATTACCTGATGCCAATTTGTATTTTTTGTATAACTATTTATATAAATTTTCTATGATCTGCTAGTTATGCTAATATAACTGCTATTACAAGTATCTTAACTAAATTATTAGAAATAGTTATTATAATACAAGTATTATATAAATAATTGTTTAAATTTTTACTGTTAATAGAATTTCAACACCCAACCTACCATTTGGAAATTAATAACTTATTTATTTTACTAAGTTGCTACATCTCCTTTTATTAATTTTTTATTTTATTTTATTTTAATACAATTATATATAAATTTTTTTTTAAAATATTAACAGTGAGGCATTATATATAAATTTTATAATAATT